ACATCCATTTTGATTTACATCCAAATGGGTCACAGACATCAATGCAGTATTATATGGGGAGAAAAAGGGAATGAAATGCTTTTAACATGAAAAATATGCTGTTGCATGTAGGCCAACTTTTGTTCTCTTTCTCTCAATTTATCTAGGATTTGAGTAGGTTTAGTTCTAGGGCCAAATTCAGTACTGGCATAAGTGAGCACAACTCCATTAGTGCAAATGGAGTCTCAATGTTTATGTCAACAGTGAACTTAGATCATTGAATTTTTCCCATGTTTGGGCTTGCATGTTTCCTGCAAGGTAATATACACATGTACTTGCGCATATGCTGCACATATGCACATAAAAATTCACTGGGGAGGACATTTGGCTCTATGCTCTGTGTCTGACTTTATGTATAGAAACTGCAATCAGCTCATGAATTTTTTTTGCTGCTTCTGTAGCTAATGTGCCATGCATCTGTAAGGACCAGCCGTGCAAAATGCCACCTTGCAAGTAAAATACCTAGTAGCAAAGGCAAACGTGAAAACTGCTTTTCTTCCCTCAGTCTGCAGGACTGTACATGCACACAATCCATGTGATTAATTTGGAGAGATTTTTCTCTCCTCTGTTATCATGAAGTTGAACACTGCCTTGAACAGAGGGGTATGTAGAAATACTACAGATGCTTATCATTGGAGTGAATTGTAATATTTACTCAGCTGCAGGCCTCAAGTTTAGTGTGTGCCATGAGGTCTGCTTGCTTCGTAGTGCCTGAAGAATAGCAAGGCCAAGGGGGAGATAGATGTCTCATTCTCTGCAATGCTTCCTGCAGCGTTTGGGGTGTTGGTCTGGTCATCAGGTTTGAGCGAGATGTGAGTGTTGCACTTTCCCAGGATCACCATAGCTTAGGTGTCCTGAATATAGACCAAGACCCAACTGCGTTGGGAGCACAAAGCTGACAGATGATTTCTGCTGCAAACTTTTACCACAAACGTACGGCAAAGGTGACAGGCATGCACAGCTAAGGAGTTGTGTGAACTAGTCAAAGGTTATTGGCCATCTGGAGGCCAGGTGTCCACAACGTGTGAGCAGCCCACATTTGAGGGCACCATGTACTTCCCCCCTGTATTTAAAGGCGGTGGTAATCTTTTCTTTTTGTTCGTTTGGTTTTTTAGATTGAAAGACCTTTGGTATATCCTAAGAGTGACTTTCCCAATGTGCCTTCTGCCCAGCAAAATGGGGTGTCCTTGTATTCTCAGTATCAAAAGAGTTAAATAACGTTTGTGGTGAGAAGTAGAGGACACTGGCCTATGGGAGTGTATGAAATGGGATCGTTAGGAAGAAACGTAAGGCCCTGCCCACATATAAAACTTGACCCTTCTCTGTGAACATTATCCCTGTGAATAATTGGAAATCTGCATTCAGGCTTCCCACTGTGTCCCATCCCTTGAGGACCCACCCGCTGTATTGCTTTACATGGTGCGGCAATGCACAGCGAGATTTACATATATATCACATAAAAGTGTTTACAAAAAAAATTAGCATGTGATTGAGCTGGGAAGCTGCAGAGGGCCCCAACTGTACGAGTTTCCATGCGCTTCAGCCAGAAGATTTATTTCCAATTTGTTATTCATAAGGGAAGAGCGAGAGATTGGGATGGGGTCCTTTGAAGTGGAAAACAAAGTCTTCTATTCAGCCTTCAGCTTAATAGAATACACATGACACAGGCTTGGCATGGCGGCCCGCTTTCATGTAATGTGCTCCTTGTCATTTTGCTTTCCTAGGCTGTGAATACTAGTGGGAATGGGCATTGCCCTGGAAAAGTCTCGTTATCTCCTGCAGCCTTCTGCGGGAGGAGAGCAGTGTAAGCAGGTAGGAGCCATTTGGTGATGGTGGTGGGGAAACCAGGCTGATCCAATTGTTGCAGTTGCGTTGCTTGTAATTCCCAGTTTGTTTCATATCGCAAGAGCGTGTGTAGAAAAAGCAGTGTCGTTGCAGGGCTTCTGCGGGCATTACGCAGGCGCTTCTGCCCTGTCTGGAGGCCCTGAGCAGGGAGCCGTGACCCGTGGGCTCTGAGCCTGCCTCTGACACCCGTCTTGTGCCTGACCCGAGCTCTCGCCCGTTATGCCCCCAAGCGGAAGGCTCTTCTGAATTTGTGCGGCATCCAGGATGGCGGAGCGTGATCTAGGCACTGTATCACTGCAAATAACCAGCAATTCCGTCCAAAGTCGGTGTTTTGGGGAGATGTATATGAATCCTGTGTTTCTTCCCAGGAACAAGGCCCTGGTTTTACAGTGATCTACAAGCCACTAAGAGCTTCTGTGCTTCGCCTTGTGTTACTGGTATTAAAACCATCCTTGGTGCAGCACAAAGGCGAGTGTTTTTGAAGAACTTACAAGCCCAGCTTACCACAAAGCCCTGTCAATTAGTTGGTCCATGGGCTGTGAGAGAAAACATGTGTGACCTTCAGCACATCAGCTTGGCCCGCAGCGTGAGTGTGGTTAGAAAGAATTTGGACCAGGGTCCTGCCAGTCCTCTTGGCCCTGTGACACTTGTTCCTCTCGGCTTTCTCTGGGATGATGTCCTCGCGCCCTGCTTCTCTCTCTCTTCTCTATGTTCAGGTTTGGAGCTCTGGGTGAATCACCAAAATCAGAGATGGAAAGAAATGCATGAAGTCATCTCATCCTGCCCTTGCCAACGCAGGATTATTCCCCACAGTACGGTCTTGAGTGCCTTCTCCAGTCTATTTTTGAGTGACTCAAAGGAGAGGGCTTTCCTCTCCTCCCCGGGGAGGCTGGCTCTGCTGTTAAGTCGACCTCACTGTTGGGGAATTCTCTTCCTGTTCTTCAGCCTCAATTCTCCTTTTCCCTAATTTAATTGAAGTGTTTCTGGCTCCACCCTTCTAAACAATTTTCCGTATTGCATGACTGTTGCAAATACCTGTTGTCAATTTGCAGGCGTAACGGATGGGAATTCATCACCGTTTGCCTTGCTTGGCAAGGGCTCTGTGCAGAACTGTACTGGGAAGCCAGGCTTTATCAGAAACTAGATTTCAGAGCTACATGCCAAGAATTAAGAATGACCTTTTCGTACTTCTTTGGACAATGCCATTAACATAAAACCCCATCATGACTGAGAATAGGCTGGGCTTCTGGCAAAGCCATGAATGTCTCTATTAATGTGCTAGTTTTCCTCTTAGTCCTCCAACAGATCTTCCATACTGCTTTTTGCATGACAGAACTAACTGCTCTGAGTTCTCAGGTTTAGTTGTAGATGTATAGGCATTTGGAGAATGTTTAATGAAATCATACAGTAATTCTGTTTTTATCAAGTGGCGCCAGCGGTTAGATTTCTAAATGCTGCCTTGCAATTTGAGGTTTCTTAAGCACCTGAAGTGTTTTGAAAATGGGTTTTGAAGATGGGATTTATGCTTTGACAATACCTAGACGCTTTGGAAGGTAGCACCTTTTGTCTTAGGGGGCATGTGTCCTTCATCCAGCAGGACTGAGTTGCAAGAAAACTGTGTGTCCAAAGAGTATAAGTTATTCCAGAAAAGCATATTATGGGTTTGAAGAATTATGAATCCCTATTTATTTATTTATGAGATGAAAATCAGTTTCTGCTGTGGGTGACAGCAGAATAGAAGCCCATACTGAAAACACCAGGAAAAGAATGGCTAGCATTAAAGAGACTGAAATCCCTTTAGTGCTTTCGTACAGCAGAGCTGCTGCTATTTAGCTATGGCAGGATACCAAACAACATTGTGGCTGGCCATTGTTGCTTGAACAGTTTGATTTTTAAAACATTCAACTGAAATATAACCACCAGCCAAGTTGGAAGAAGCGAGTCACAAGGACAGCATGTTAAATGAAGAGTCAGCAAATGAGGGAAACAAGTTCTCATGCCCCAGTGGAAAGTGGCTGTATTGCAGACCAGGAGCCCGAGAGCAGTATCTCAGCCTAGCACAGCTATCGAGTTGCTTTTAGGAAAATTTTATAGTATAGAAGTAATACGGCTTTGAAAAGAATGAGATAGTGTCACAGCTATAAAATAAAATTACTGATTTCTCTGCGGTAGGCCTCAGAAGGGTCATGGATCCCATCCCTTTTTGCTCAGCAGAGATCCTCACATCATAAACCAGAAACTTCTCATCCGGAGAATTTCCAGTGTTAGGCATTTCAGGAGCTGGGAAAGGGGTGATGGAGCGGAGTGAAGGAGGAGAGAACAAAGTGACCGTAGCTGGCGTAATAAAAACCATCCCAGCACGCAGTGGCCTTTGTTGTTGATACCGATCAGATTCATCAAATTGTTTGACGTGATTCTTGATAGGTGTTTTTTAGAAGGCATCATTCTTGTTGGTGTTTTTAAATGTGCATGTTTAAATGATGCTGTGAGTTAATGGATTGGAGCATGGTGTGTGGGAGCAGTGGGGAGGAGAAGGGTGTGTGGTCCCTAAATGACGCCAAGTGAAAAACAGAGACACACCTGCTTTGGGATATAATGGGAGTGATAAGAGTAATTTCTTAACGATGGGGTTTTTTGGGGTGTGCGAGGGGAAGGGTTGGTTTAAGAAATTTAGGGGAGCAAACAGGACTTCTATCTTGCTGTGCTGGGGAGTGTTCATTTTAAATGGGAGTGTTTGCTACATCTGGGCTGAACTGATATTGGTTCTTGCATACCGCCCCCCCGCTCAGTGTTTTGCTTTGCGCTGTTTTATCTGCCAAAAAGAAAATAAATTCACAAAATATTTGCAAAGTTGCATGGCCACAGGCTTAAATACATACATATGAAATCCCTGAAAGCAATTTGCTTCAAGCCTTCCTCAGTTCCAGACATCTTTCTCACTCCATCTGCTCGTTCAAGTACACAAGTTCCTTGGGAAAAATCACTTATTACATCACTGAAAAATGCCACAAAAATAGCTTTTCACTTAAGTTCCCATCCTCGGAGTTAACTCACATGGGGATCAGATAGATTCAAACATTTAATAACTTTTTATTTTCCTTTCTCTTTAAACACAGGATCTCTGGTCATGGAAGCAGGGTCACGTGGTGGATTCTTGGCAGTCAGCAGTCTGTGGAGCTTTTGCAGGTGCAAAGGATTATATGTTATACTGGGAAAGACTAAAGAAGAAAGGGAAAAATGTGCAAATCTATTAAGTATAGCAGAACAACATTCCTTTGTAATTCAAGTTTGTTTAGAAGAAAACGGATCCAGTTGTTGTTTGGAAATAGGGAAGTCAGCAAAGGAAGAGAAGAAAAAAAAAAAAAAGACTCAAACAGGGTGTCTGTTTGAAAGACAACCAATTTGTTTTTGACAAATTTCTGTTATTTAAAAACCAGGGGCCTGTCAGTCAGGCTTTGCGATTATTTCAAAGTTGATTTGTAAAATCCTCATCCAGGAGAAACTTTTGCTTGGGTGGGGGTTTGTGCAGCTGTCTGCTCTGAGCACTTCCCCAGGGGCTGAAGTGATTGCAGCGAGAGGCCATGATTCACCATTCATGTGACAGCTCTGACAGCCATGTAGATTAACTGGAGTCAGGAGAGCAGAGGCTAGCACTGCACAGCCTGGAGGCAAAAGCCTTCCGCAGCAAAGAAAAAAACAGAGGACGAAACATCTGGGCAATCTCCAGACACTAGAACAAGAATAAAGAGTGGCAGAATACAATACTGCAGTATTTATTACCAAACAAGCCAGAAGTTAATTGAATTCTTCAGTAGGCTTCTTGCTTGATTTTAGCCTACTGTAGTTGTTTCAAAAAAAAAAAAAAAAGGAGAAAAAATCAGTTAATGACTCATCAGTATAGCTGACAAGTTTGAGGGAGGAGAGACTCAACTGTCTTAATAGAAAAAACAGATTAGTAGTTAAGAGATGGATAGCCAGAGCTTTTCCCCAAGGACCTAAAATACATTTAGAGATTCCAAACCAGTAACAGAATATGTGGAAAAAATAAATCCTGTTTAAAGAGAAATTATAGCATTTCTTGAAATAGAGATTATCAAAAGCAAAGCTTGTTCTTTGATGACTTACAAAATCAGACCCATTACATCGTATGTAATTTTTTTAAAATAAGCTGTGTTAGGGGAATTGAAGTATTAATAGCAGCAGAATTCCAGCAGAGACTGAGGCTTCATTTTGACGGGCGCTGTAACTGCATGACTGAGAGAAGGGAGCATGGCTGTAGCTGCACACAGTTTAGTAGATCAGGCACGTGAGCTGTGAGAGAATGGTTTAGGTAGAATTGATTCCATTTTGGGGCAGAGGGGATATTTTAGATGATCTCTTGTGGTTTTGTCTAGCTGTATTTTCTATGTTTATGTGATGGGAAGGGAATTTTATTCTGCTTAAAATTCAGTCTACTGTTGGATTTTACACTGACTTCATCAAATCGGCGCAAACGAAATCAGAGCGATTGAAGCAGATCGTTCATTTTTGTTCTGAAACAAAACAAGCTATCAGACTAAAAATGCTTTAAAATGCAATCTGTACGTCTGCAGGTGTGATAGGGGATCATTAATTTAGCTCTGTTGATTTCTTTACAGTCAGATTGATACAAAAACTGTGTTCAGGCACGTTCAGAGAGCTGGAAAGGTTATCTGATTTACCCAAGGCCTTGCCGAGTAATTTCCTGAAGTCCAATTTGGTGCCTCAATTGGAAATCTAGCCCAATGCCTCCACTTCCTTCTCTGTATGTCTTGATTCTGACCAGTTGTACTTGGACTTGCTGCTATTTGATGGATGTTCAGTAGCGTCCACTCACTTTCCAGCAGAAATATGGCAGAAGGAGCTTCCAGAGGCACGGCTGGGCGGGAACGCTGCCCTGCCTTTTGGCGGAGGCTGGGGAGACCTAACGCTTTGTGCTGGAGGAGACACTGTGTCCCCTGCGGAGCAGCACGGAGACTTCCAGGTTTGAGGTGGTGGCAGATGAGACAGTTCAGCCTCTCTGTCTTCATAGGCTCCATTCCCCAAGCGCAAGTCTTTGCAGAGCTGGAGTGCTATTTTCCAGATAGCGTTGCAACTGATGATATATATATTCTCTGTGTTATCCTTCCAGCTTTGCTTCCTCCAGCCTCGTTTTCCTTCTCTGTTCTTTGTTTCTGTATTCTTTCCTTTTCACCAGCAGTATTTTAAACTTCCCTTCTCATGTGTCCTTTGAGGACCTGCTTCAAAACTCATGAGGTTTAATTCTCTTTGGATCAGAACCTTCCCCTCTGTCTCCATTGCCTCCCTCTGCAGACGTGCAACAGGCAGGCCCTGTACTGATCTAATCTGGTACTGTATCCATTCTATTTCACTGAAAATATTTAGCCTTCTTGCTGAATGGAGGCAGTGGAAAAATAATTTCCTGCTTTCTGAATTCCACAGTTAAAAATTATTAACTACCTACATATAGCTTCAAACGAAGGAAGAAAAAACAGACCAAACTCTCTATCCGTTTCTTTCCACCCCAAAACAAAAAAAACAAAACCTCACCAGTACCCTATGAATAAAATGAGATGGCTGTGTGCATCCAAGTGGTTTAAAATTGTCATGTTATAAACGTTAAAAGGAGATTATCCAAAAACAACCTTTAAACACAGAGATGCTGTCAAATGCCACCATGGTAGTAGTGAGATGGCGAAATCACACAGACATGCTTTTCTCCTGTGTTCTTTGCTTGAATTCAATACTTTCTAAAGACATGTTAGAGGTCCTGAGGGGCAGGGTAATAAGCTTAAACAAACTGAAAGTAAAGTCCTGTTTGGCTTCCCTTTATGGCACACACACGTATATATGTGTGTATGTGTCTGTGTGCATTGGTTAGTTCCTAGCTAAATCGTAATTGATTATTTGGCGAAGACAGAACAAAGAGCAACAATATATTGAATTCCATCCCCAGTGCCTGTGAAATGGCAGCGATTTCAGCCAAAGTGCTGTAAGGGGCCCGACTCTTCCTTGTTGAGCGCACATGTAAGATGTATGTGTGCGATCCGTGGGCTTTTTTTGTAATGGGCATGAGCATAAATGTCAGAGATTTGGAATCCTCTCTGTCTCATCTGTTAATAATTTAATCCCTGGAGGCCTTGTCCAGCCTTATCATCATCTCTGGTGTCTTAACTAGAGGAGATTTTTGGAGCAATTGGGGAGTGAGGGAAGGTGATATCTGAGCAGTCGGTGGGGAGGAACCCAAGGGTAGACCTACATGATATTTTAAGCCTGAGGATGCATTTGAACCAAACCTTGCCTCATGTCTGAGCTGTTTGGACACCAGCGCAGATTTGGGCACGGGCTTCGGCAGGCTGGAGGCAGAGGAGTGATGCATGTCCTCGTGCTGTGGGCAGGCCAGGCATGAGTGTGGTTGTACTCCATGCTTGAGTCTTCTCTGGGCTTAGGCTGGCTGGCTGGACCACTGCCCCCCAGCCTGCACTGTACCAGGGCAGGCTGTCCCAGAAAAGCTTCTGGGTGGGTTTCGTGTGTACTCCGTGGAAGTGGGCTGGTGGCAGAGAAATCCTGCCATCGGGTATTAGCTGTTGGGAAAGCAAAGTACTGCCCTGGAGCAGCGAGGTGATCTTCAGCTTGTCAAAGAACCTGAGTGTCCATTTAATGGGATTGAAAATTGCCTGTGTTAAAGACGCCTTCTTTCTCCCTACTGTAAAAAAAGTGTGGCTTAATATTAATAATTAATGCTCTGTGGTGACAAAGTCACCGAGAATGGAGGTGCAAGTCCAGTGAATAATAAAGCGCTAACAAGAGCTTTTTGCACATTAACAGGGAAGACTTCCCATCACTTTTGTTTTGATCTAATCAGCTTTGACAAGATTACACACTGTGCCTAAAAGCCTCCTTAACTCTATAGCTCTGAATAAATTTTTGAGTAGTTCTCAAGATTTCCCTGCAGTGTCTCCTTGGACCAGGCTTCTAACCCTGAATTGGTTAAATTGCTGGAGGAGCAGTGCTTTGCCTCTTGGTATTTCTGCTGAAATCTGAACAAGTTCTTGGGTCACTTTGCTCTACCATTGACATGTGGTGTTCCCACAGTGATAAAGGATGAGAATAAAATTTCTCTTAAAAAATTTAACATAGTATCAATAAAACAAAAGTTCAATAAGAACCGATTGATTGAAGAGTTCTGAAAAAGACTCATTTGTGAACTTGGAAATCAGTCAGTGTAAGAGGATGCCGTGAGGTTTAGTGTTGGACCTGTGCGACTCAGTTTTTCAACCCGGATTTGGGATTCAATCCTGAACCAGTCCTGGGTAACCTGCAGATGTCAGTACAGAAAATAGTAATGAAGACAGGCAATAGTACAGCTCAACCTGGATTTTTTCCTTTTCCTAAGGTGGGCTAATTCAAAAAAAGATATTAGTCAAGCACAAGTTCCTATCTCTTGAAATGAGCTTGACCTACCGAACTGGGTTGGTGTTGCAGAAGAGAGTGCCAGGGGTCTGGCCAGATGACAGAAACGCTGAATCAGGAGGAGCCCCTGTGACAGCCAGAAGGGTTCCCTGGACCCTTTAGAAAGGGTGGGAAGAAATTAAAATGGTACAGAAAAACAAGATACGGAGACTGAAGAAGAACTTGTCTTCCTCCCTTCATAGGATCTTATCTGAGCACTGTGTCAAAGAACCCATGAAACATTTTCGCATAGCAGCAGCAGCAGCAGAAAATTCTGCAGGCAGCTACCTTACTGCAAGGATGTAGGGTTATGTATTGTTCTCAGGTGAAGTATTTCACTCTGTTCTGATGCTTCTCGGTTTTTATTTGCATATGACAGCTAAAAAGGGTAGGAAATGCCAGCAGGGGAATATCTTAAGTCTTCAAGACTTTTTATTCTTATCGCCAAATAAAGGTAAATCATTCTCTGCAGGTGTCTGTCACTAGCGCTTCCGTCAAGAACAGGTCACTGGAAAGTGTGGGTAGCAGAGGGATTTTCTGTTTAACACCCTGAGCTTGGTAAAGTTTAGCTGCTTAGCTGACGTATGAGTGCACAGTGTCCATTGTAACTTCTCGGGAGATAGGTGATGAATTTTCTGCTACTCTGTCAAGTTTTATTTTCCCAATAGAGCAGTTTGTCACTCTGCTAGAAGTATTAACAAGCCAAGAGCCTTCTCCCATGTGAAAATCCATCTTGATGCCTACTTGCTGAGCCCAAGTCATCGCCAGATCCTTCTAGGGCAAGGGGGAAAGGAGTCTTTTCCAGGGGTGAGTTGGTGCGTCTGTTTGTCTGGGTGCAGACTGCCTGCAAAGGTGCCTTTTTCACTGTCACCTCTGCAGAGAAGCTGTAATGGTTAAGAGTGTAAGTCTGGATGTGTCTGGGCCTTTCTGGCCCACCTGATACTTTGATGCCTGCTTTTCCTGCTTGCTGACTAGTTGAGCAGACTTCAGCCTTATGTGGCAGCTCTTGGAGAATTCAGTGACAGCAGGAATAGACTAAAGGAGTGATTTAAAGATCTGTTGGGCCTTACTGTGTATGAAACAATGTGGTGCACAGCCTCCTACTTTGAAAGAGTAGACTCTGGCTGTATTAGTTTTCATCACTTGTATTAATCTGGAAACAGTCATTCGTTAAGTTCCTTTACCCAGCTAGAGTAGTAGGTAGAACTGAGCAGTACCTTGCTAGTGCTGTAGTCTATTCTTGTGTGCCTGTGTCCTAATATTGAAGAGGTCACTCTAAAATTGCCTTGGATGTTTAGGGTTAAGGCTGGAGGAAATTCATGTTGTCAGACTCACTGCCTTCAATAAAATGTAGTTCCCAACAAATGCTAACTTTAATCTCATGTTTTTGTCAAGCATATACAAACTTGCATTTATTTTAGCCACTATCCTGCTGCTTGTTGTGCTTATGAAGCATTTTATTGTTGCTGTTGTCATTCTAAATTGATTGGTAAATATTCCCAGTGATGGAAAAAAAAACATTGAAATGTTAATAACGAGTCTGAAAGATCCAGATGTTAGCTGGGGAAAAAAATGAAAACCAATCAGCTTCGATTAAACCTTTCAGATAAGAATTTGGGAACATCTATCAGGATAAATTGTGTTTGTCCTAATCACTCTATCAGCCAAGGTTGAAGCTTCTGCCAATACAAAACTGTTAGGAACAAATGTATAAAAAAATCACTGGGATCTGTTAAGGGAAATAAGTTAGTCTGACTAAAGTGTTACTGTCAGCTCTACAGCTGAGTGATGCATTGAGATTTTTTGCTTGATACAGGCCTGACAGCCATGTGGTTCACTATTTAATTTTATCTTTGTCTGTGGGCAAAGGAAGGGCTTCTACATCCAGACTTGTAAAGCCACTATTTTCCATGGAGATTATTTTTACTGTTCTAAAAATACATCGCTGACATGAGTACCAAAGTTTCTATCCAGACCATTCTCTCAAAGCCTTTGGGTCACTTACTCAAAAACTGGCTCACAATTAAAAGATTTTTGACCTTAAAGAAAGTCCAAGAATGGGCTGGAATTTAGTTTAACTTGCTCATAGTTTCTGCTTTGGCTTCTTGAATACAACCCATTTTTCTGCTTTTCAGTGAGATATCACTGCTAGAAAGCTTCCAGCAGAGTGAACTGGATGGGCCAACCTTACGTGAGCAGAAGCTGCTCCTAAACCAGGTGTTTTGGGCTGTTTGCTAACTTGGCTTGCCTGCTATTCTTGTTTGAGATCCAGGGGACTGCACATGTGCCTTACTGCATCTCCTGAACTGTCATGGGACATTCCTTAATTAACTGTAAGAAGTTAACGTAGGGTGCCAGCTGGCCCAACCTCCTTTCCAACATAAAGCAGGGTTTTAACAGGTTAAAGCTAAGGTGGTTGAGAGAGAGAGATGCAGCTAAAAACACAAGCCAGTGGGGAAGACGGATTTTTTCATTACTTTACAGATTTTAGAAGAAATGCTTTTCCTCTCTACCATCTCAAGAAGAGAGATCAATTTTTCTACATTCCATAAAACTTGGAACAGAAAATAGATTATTTTTAGCTTATTCCCTGGGTACTGTGTAGGCTTCAGTCTTTGGAGTCACTTTGTTCCCTGCTGTAGCAGATACAGGATTTATACAAGCTCCAGTGAAAAAAACAGGAGCAAGAAGGAGGAGAGATTTCAGAACAAGTCCTTTTCTCTTTTCTTCCCCCCTTTCTTCCTTCACTTACTGCTGAGCTGCTTCTATTTAAAAGTTTCCTTCACTTTGGCTCTTCCTCAGCATGGATTACTTGCTTGAAATATTGTGAACAGAGGAGGGAGAGAGAGATTGGAGTTAATTTTAGGATGGGGAAATAAGGCAAAGAGAATAAGATCCTGGGAGAAAAAGCAGCAAAGCTGGTCCCTAGATAGCACAAGAGGCCAGGCTGCAGCCACGGGGTTGGAGTATGGAGACAGACATACACGCATGTTTGGGTGAGACATGCAGATGGATAAGCTGAAGATTTCTGGCTTTCAGGAGGAAAGCCCCAGCTGAGCTGGCTGCTCCAAGTGAAAGTAATGAGCTCCAAGGGTGAAGTTTGAGAGTGATTAGAGAAAATAAAAATGCCTTTGAGGGGAAGATGGCACTTGCGGCACCAGACTTCTGACAGTTTCCAAAGACCCTTGGGCAGCTTCATATTGTTATTATCCTAAATGGAGCTGATTTAATTCGTTGGAGATGAGGTCCGTCCCAAACGCTGGCTTGTCTTTTTTTCCTTGAAACAGTCTCAGGTCTAACAGTTGAAGTCCAGATGCAGTCTGTCTGTACCTTGTGGATAGCTTTGCCCCTGAAGCATGTGTGTTTCAGATGCAGGGCATCTTTCTTCTCTTTCTGTCTTTCTAGCATCTGAATGGTCAGACTTTAATTCTCAAGGCAGAACACAGTGTGACTGGCTTATTTTCCTGTCTCTGCAAATGAGCAAGCAGGTTCTTCCTTTCAGACCTGTCTGTAGATGTTGGAAGTGGAATCCGTTATCCTTATGACCTTTGTATGTTCATATATGCACAGAATCCAAAACAAAAGGACAGTGATCTCAATGGGCATGTTTGGATTTACAGTTAACTAGTATAGAGCTGTTTCCTTAAGTCAACACATAGGAATAAAACACTCTGTGTACAGACCTTCGACAGACGTACCTGGACTCTGACGTGAGGAAACATGCTGTAGGCATTAATAATGGAGCAGTGTTGATCACAGCCATGGGAGTTATAGGCAGTGTGGCATTCATACTCACCCAACAATGTCTCACTTGTGTTTGGTATTTTAATTTGCTCAGGTGGATTTGCAGCTGCAGTCACCACACCTCTCGATGTAGCGAAGACAAGAATTATGTTGGCAAAGGTAAGAGCGAAGGAGGCCAGCAGACACGCAGGTGAATGGCTTGGGTAGTTCCAGAGTTTCTGTATGGTCATTACAGAATGAAATCCAGCACCTATTAATAATGATTTCTGCTCCTGTCCTCAAAGGCAGGATGAGATGTGAAGAGGTACTGCATGCAGAACTAATGAAATTGTTGTGTTCATTTCCTTGCATTGCTCTTCTGGTCCTTTCCCAAAGGAGCTCTCTGAGAAGGGCTTGTGCTTGTGCTAGACTTCCAGAGTCTCATGCGGTGTCTTTAGGAGAATATCCTTGTAAAGTCAGACACCCAAAGTTAAACTGCTCGTCAGGGATTTATTCCTCTGTTGGTTTGATGAGCTTGAGTGTGTGTATGTGTGTTTTTTCTGAGGAGGGCTTGGCACTGGATTTTCTGTCCTAAAATTTTAAGCTATAGAGATTGTGATGGCTTACATCTGCCAACCAGGGCAGAAGAAAGATTGCTGGTCAGATTGGTAAGTTTAGTAAGTAGTTAAATTGCTAGTAAGTCTAGTGTTCCCATCATCATCTCATTGACGCAGAGCTAAGCAGCCACATAGCTAAAAAGACCTCAGCAGGTGGATATTCCTAAAGCCTTTCCCTGCGCTGCAAAGAGCTGTTGTGTTGGTGAAGGTCAGGCATCCTGGAGTTTCTCTGGGTGGTTTTTACCCTATTGCTCATGTCCCTCAGTACAGGGGTGTTTCTTGTTGATGACATGCACCTTCCCAGTCGAGTCACACACATCTGTGCTCGCCATTTAGCTATGTTGTGTGTATCTCATTGTTGGGTGTTGTACCTGCTGCAGCTCTTTGCCTTTGGATAGTGTGGGTGATAAAATGGTAAGAACTGGGTTTCATTTATATCTGCTGCTGTCCTGAGCAACCAGGTCAACACTGGTGAGGGAATGATGGTGCTTTGAGGTGTTCTGAGACCATTCAAGCAGCATCTTTATATTAGTCATCTCACACTAACTAGATCACCCATGTAATGTAATTGTCTGTAGTCCTGCTGTTTGTCCTCTGTTTTGCACTCAAGGCAATTTTCACATGCAGTACACTGCTCATGTTGGGTTTTTTTAAAGTAAATCTCAAGGCTGCTGTCCTCTTGCAGTGAGCAGCGGAGTCCCTTGTTGGTGCATTCAGAGTGTGTTTTTATTAACGTCTTACTCCAGTGTCAGCTGCTGGACGCAGAACTGAGTGTAGTGCAGAAGGGACTGGATACCCAGTTCTAAACTAACCAGCTCTGTGACCTTGGAGTGATCATTGTGTTCTTCTGTGCCTCAGTTTCCCTTTCTGCCCTTTGCCTCATTCCTGGAGACAAGGACCTTTTGCCTGTGTTTGGAGTAAGGAGGTCATTAGGATGTCTGCAATTCCTGTAATGTAGCACTAACTAGGGACAGGGAGCTCAGGAAATAACTAAACGTCTCTGCCAATGGTTTACAGTCTTTCTCTTTCTGTGCTGCAGGCTGGTTCCAGCAACGCTAGTGGAAATGTTCTGACCGCCCTCGGTGGCATCTGGAGGACACAAGGCCTGTCGGGGTAAGGACATGCTACATCTCAGATGTTGTATCTCTGTGTGTGTCAGGGGGCGGGAGAAGACAGGCTGGTCTGCTTATATTTAAATACTGTCATACAGAAAAGGCTTTTAATTGCTCTACACGTGGCCAGGGAGCAGCTGTCAGGTAGCTAAGAACAAGTCCCTCCAGGGGCATCTGGTGTCCTCGCCTTAGTGCTAGCTGGGAGCAATGTCCAGGGAAGAGCACGGAAACCGGGCATTATTCAGAGTATATCCCTGGTAGAATCTCTAAGCTTAGTTCCAGGCTTCGGAGGCGAGGGTGGCTTTGTGTTTAATAACCTGTGATGGACTTTTCTGCATGAATGTGTGCCTTTGTGTTTTGTATCCATTTAAACTTCAGGCATACGCATCTTGTGGCAGTGAGTACTACAGTTTCATCTTGAGGTGTGTGAATCACCCCTCAGATGTCAGGGAAGGCCAACATAGGAGCCACGTGTCCCTTATGGAATGTCTTTTCCTCCTGGCAATTTCCTACCAATTTGAAAACACCAGCAAGGTCTCCTCCGTTCCTTTATATTCACTGTTCTTACGGTGAAGCGTGATGGGAGCAGGTGATGCCAGTGTGGTGCTGGCAGTAGGGGCAAGCTGAAGCAGAAGGAAGGGAGCCATGTGCTCCCTGACTTGTGCTTTGAGCCCCCTGTCAGGTCTGGGCTTGAGCACATGCCTGCTTGGATTTCTCCAGTGAGGCAGTCATTGCAAAAATGCAAGTTTTCTGAGACAGGCTTGAGTGCAAAGAATAAGTCTGAGCAGCTGCAGAGCAGCTCTCTGGTGGCTTTCCTGCTGTGGCTGGGGCGTAGAAATATTCTGGGCTTTTCTTCTGACCAGCTGCGGAAGTCTGGGGTGATGTCGATCCAGTCTCTTTACTGCCTCACTTTTCCCAGTCCTGAGACAGAGTATTGCTCTTCTGACCTTGGAGCGGTGTTGTGGACAAAAAATCCTCTGCTAGCGTTTGTAGAACATTTTGAGGTGTCACGAGCTTATAAATTCTTACTGATTTTTACAGACACCTGCTTTATTTATGCTACCATGCTCTGTTTGAGTGCATGACTCATACCAGTTATTGCCCACTCATAGTGAATATATGTCTTAACTCCTCCAGTCCATAAGGTTCAGGTTGTGCTTCCTTCGGTAGGGCTCGTGTCCCACCTGCCCTTGGCCTGGAAGAGAAAGGGGGGTTTTTTTGGAAGCTTTACTTTGGGCTTTTCACTGTAATTTCTCATAGGTTTTTAATCCGCTTGATGTGGCCGATACTTTCAGGGTGCTGTTTTAACATTTGTAAACTGTTGCTCGAAGCAGCATGCACATCGTAGCTTTGCGGGAGACGGTTTTCTCTTAACATCTGATCTCTGCTCGCTCAACTAATAAAAGTTCAATCCTCTTTCTACACATGTGGGAAATAATTCAAAACAAATTGCAGGAAGTTCCTGAACACCGATTCCAGGAAGACGTCCAGCTGTGCCCCCCGGCAGTGCTCAGAGATGGGTTGTCTCAGGTTTGCTCTTTGAGGTGACGAGGTGATGTGGCGGTGGATGATGATTTTGGGTCCTGCATGGCGTGGTGGACTCTAGGGCATGTTTTGAGAGGGACTGGGAGAAGTGAGGCCACGTCTGCTGCTGATGGCAGTTGAGCTTTGAAGGGTGCGAAGAGGCATGGATTTGGCTGGGGAAACCTCCCCCTTTCCCCAGCCAACAGCAGAAAATAAAAATGTATGTTTGTGTTCTTTTTGGGGTGTTTCAGCAGTGCCCTTTTCTAAACAACCCAGAATTAAACTCTGCCTAAAGATAGTACCCATGGACTAGGACCAAAAGGAACACAATTCAGTTGAAATCAAAACAATAAGCAATCTGGAGAAAAAGTAACATGTAAAGGAGGCCAAGCTGCGTCAGCTGCAAGGAAAAGGAAGAAAGTCTTGGGAAAAATAAACGCAGAGGCTGCCATGCCTGCTGCCAATTATAAATCTATTAATCAAAAACAATAAAAATGTCGGGCTTTTTTGGCCAGTTGCAACATGAAATGATTTATGGCTCCTCTAATAAATCTCATACTTGAAGAGGAGGAATTCTGAGGGCAGAAAGACGCGTTGCTTATTGCCACCTTATTAAAACCAGAGCGCAGGGCTGAGCTTCCTGGTCTGCACCTAGTAAATCCCTTTGCTTCACGCCAAGAAATTTCACATCCCTTTCTGTCCGGGGAGAGCCAGACCTGCAGCGGGAGGTAGGGTAGGGATGGGGTGAGCGGATCCGTGCGCCTCTTTGCTCTTGCCAGCAGGGTAGGTGAGCCATTCGCATGAAAGCAGGTTTACATCTTGTCTGACTGCTTTTCACGCAAGGAGGTGGTGGTGGTTGAAAGCCTGGCTGAAGCTTCATAGCTCATTGGTGAGAAAGACAAGGGTTATTTGGCTGATAAATCTGGTGAGATACCTTGTCCCAGCTCATATGTAGCTGGGGACAGAGCTGGTGGTTTGCAGCAGGTATCCCGTTCCTCGGATGAGCTTCCCAGTCGGGGTGGACATGGCATGGCAGGCACTAACCACACCACTCTCTGGAGCGAGTGGCGAAAGCAGCCCCTGCACCCAGGGCGTGCTGCTTTGTGAAACACAAGCTTGCCCGTGGGAGTGAGCTCAGTGCAAAGCCGTAGTCAGATAAAAAGCATTGTTTTTTCTTGGCGTGGCCACCTCTTTGGTCCAGAGTGTAATACAGAGGTTTTATGGCCGAGCACACGGTGCCTTTTTCAGCGCTGGCCCCTCTGTGCTGTGTCCAGGTCCTGCAGTGCCTTTTCCAAAGGGTAATGTCAGGGGTCCCGGTTAGTCTCTGTTGAGAAAGAATTTGCTTTGCGTTGCCAAGTAGTCGCCCAAAAACTTCACCTCTGCTGCTGGAACCACAGGACTAGGTGTATGGCTGGGCTGGGAACCCTGAAGCGAAGACCTGCACCCCAGAGGGCATGCCCACGGCTGGGGAGGGCACGCGGTGCGGGTTTAACACCTGCAGGTGCCAGGCCTTGCCCTGGGATTTAAACGTGATTCCCAGATTTGTGACTCCTGCTGAGCCATTCCTCGCACGGCTGGGGAGAGCACGATGTGTCTGTACCAGAAAGCCTGCGTTTGGTTTTTGCCGGTCACTGACATGCTGTGCATCGATTGCAGCTGTCGGTGATGAGAAGGTGAGGGTGAAGCCCTCCAGCCCTTGGTGCTGGATCCGACCAGTAACTGGGAAAGTTGCTTAAGCAAAAGGGAAGACCCAGGCAAGGAGAGAGGAGTGGCAGGGTGCCAGGTGAAATCTGTGTGAACAGATAGCAAATACTAATAGGCAGCACACCTGTGTCCACCAGAGGGGTTTCTGATGGGAGCTGCAGAAAAAAACCCAATTTATCTCATCTGCTGATGAGGGCAGGTGTGGGGGGAGCAGTTTGGATCAGGCCTGCAGCAGAGCTCAGCTCTCTGGATTTGGGGCAGCCCTGGAGCTGCTCAGCTCTGCTCCTGCTGTAGAAAGGAGTCCATGGAGGAAGCGTGGATTGGAGAGGCCACGGATGGCAGGTGGGAAGGGGAAACTGGGGCGAGCAGGGCCAGGATTCTTGGAAGTGATGGTTAGTAATAGAGGTTGCCAGGGATGCAGCTTCTGGGTAACTCAGTTATCTGCCCCTGTTTGTGTAATAGCTATGTCTCGAGTGGGCTGTTCTATAAATGAATGCCTGCCACTGCTTCTGTAATGAGGGCTGCCTAATTCGGCAGGAGAAGGATGGTGTGTGTTTCGCGAGAGATGCTGCACCATAGGATTTACCCTATCAGCACTCTGTCCATACATGCCTTGTACAAATTACTCTGTTTTAAAGCTGTCATTATGGTAATAGACCCAATTGCTGTCTAGTAAAGCCATAAAATGTTTCCATCTGCCTGTGTGCTCCAGGCTCCTTAGCAAAGCTCATTACAACGAAAACCAGAGTTATTGCAGCCAGAGGTTTCCCCAGCGCAGCGTGAGTAGCCGGGCACCGGCAGGGAGCAGAGAGCTCCTGAGCAGCCCTGGGGTCGCATGCATCTCCCGCGCAGCCAGGTCTCACCGGGAATTACACCTTGTCCCGCTGTGGACACGCTCCTAGCAGGGACCATGCAGGGTTTGGAAAAAGCCGAGGACAGCAGCGTCCCCACGGAGCTCAGATTGTGCGGCGAAGGGATCCCGCCGAGCGGGCGATAGATCAGTGGGGGGATGCCAAACTGATTCGAGCCTAATGTTTAATCCTTGCTTGCAACGAAGGAAGCCTGTAATCCTCCAGGAGGATACACTGGCCTATCCTGGAGCTGTTAAACCAACTATGAGCTTAGATGTGTGGAGCAATCGGCTTTGCGCGAGTTTCCTGTTAACTTCCAAGAACTGTTAGGATCGGGCACCTAAAAATTGTGGTGGCTGAATGCGCAGCCGTTCCTGCTCCCTCCCTGCTGGCCCCTGTTGTATGTTACTGGGAATGAGCCGCTGCGGTGAGCAGGGCTGTCTCTGGGGTGGGAGAGCTCCTGGCAGAGAGGGGGGGTCCCTCTGCCGAGGCTGGATGGGGGTGGCAGAGGATGGGACGCTTCCCATCTGCCTGCAGCCCTTCGTGGGGATGTGTCTGAGCTCCTCTTTCCACAACGTGGCCCATAGCTTCCTGCACCTTTGCTTCTGCACATGAGGAGTGTGGAGAGGGGTTAAAATCACAAGGCTTGGGAGTACTCTGGTAGGGAAGTCCAGACAGGTTCCTTCAGTGAGCAGTGAGGTGGGATTTAAGAAAACAGCAAGAGAGAATTTTTCTTGGCTTTGTTTTCCAAAACCCCTGCAGCCAGCCATGCGGCATCTGCTCACCACTCATCCTCTGAAACCGCCTTTCCTTCGCCTTCAGCTTGTTTGCAGGTGTTGTCCCACGGATGGCAGCCATCAGCCTGGGAGGCTTCATCTTCCTGGGGACATACGAGAAGACTCGCCAGCTGCTGCTCTGACCCAGCCCAGCCGGTCCTGCCGGTGGCCGCCAAAGAGCTGGAGAAGCCGCCGAGTTGGAGGAGGAGTCCGCCCGCGAACGCAGCCTTCCTCCGATCGCCCCTTCGCCGTGCCGCAGCAGCTGTTCAGCAGGCTGAGAGCTGCCTTCGCTGTTAAAGAAAAGTAAATCCTCCAATAATCCAATTTCCCAAACATGAAATCTTCCTGCATGGAAAGTGAGTGAGGTCATTGTGAGAGCTGTGCCAAAAAAGTAATGTTTTGGGGGGGGGGGGTAAACAGCTAATTACGGTTGCTGAGAAAGGCGTTATTAGAACTCCTGCAGGGGAAATGTTTTTGCAAACCTCCAGATCGTGGGCTGAGCGGGGAGGCTGAAATAAAGCAAGTTTTCATAATTCAGTGGCACCTGCCTCATAACGCGGGGAGGGTTTTACTGGTCGGGCAAGGGGCCGATAGAGTTACAGCCTGCTGCCCTCCAACAGCACTGAAAGTATTCCAGGTTGGGAGAGCTCTTTGTAAAAGACAATAATCCATTTGTTTCTGATTTGAGCTGTATTTGTGGAAGTTTATATTCCTGTTTATACCTACAGGTGCTCAGCAAGCATTCCTGTGTGGTAGCCAGTGCAGCTTTATTAATTAGACTCACATTTCTCCAGTAAAAGCACGGGCTTGTATTATTTTACAGCTGCGCTTGTGCAAAGACATGCAGCTCTGCTGCCTTTTGGTCTTCCTCCCTCAGCAGCTGAAGGAGCAGGAGGCTGGAAATGCTGAAGCCCGGGAAGGCAGGGCAGGGAGATGTGCAAGTTCTCCTGCTGGAGCACGAATGGATCCCGAGGGCTCTCAGGGGGCTGCTGGCAGGCAGAGCAAACCTCTGCCGTTGCTTTCACGTTAGAAGCTATAGCGGCCAAAATGGTGCAGGGGCGAGCTCGGTGAAAAGGCCTTTGGAGGCCGAGGGGCTCCTCGCGCGGGGGGCGAGGAGGTGGGTGCTGGCCGCCTCGATGCACCGCGAGCCCCCCATGGTCAGGCTCCAGAGGGGCGGCGGAGCCCGGCTTGTGCAGCCGTCGCGGCGGCGAGACCGTCGGCTTCGAGCCGTCGGCACTGCCTGCGTGCGCTTGCCGGTCCATGCGCGCTCCTCGCGGGTCATCGCGACGCTTCCCGGTTAACTGACGTCGTACCTGTGACGACGTGCTCCACTGGGGTGCTGTGATTTCACATTGAGGTGGTTCTCCTCATTAGGAAGATGTACAGGTGTAGGCGACGGAGAACAAATGCCAAACCAGGTTAGTGCAGCAACGGGGAGGGCACGTGTGAAGCCTGAGCACGGGCGCAAACACGGGCCAGGCTTACTTACTAAGGCTGGATGTTTTATTACCCTGTCATCCCATGACATAGTAATAAGACCTTTTTGAGGCCAAAAAAACTTAGAAAGTAATTGGCAAACAAGTAAAACATACAGAACAAAGGACATAATTCTTAAAAATAATCTTGAATTAAAATGGGGAATTTCAGCCAAGTCCCCTATTGGCTGGTTAATTCTACCAGTTTTCATGGCACGGTGTAGCAGTGCTTCCTGCCACTTTTAAGGTTGTCTCTTTTATGAAGTTTATATATAGCTGAACCAATTTTAAGGGCTTTGGGGGGTGGGGGCAAGATTTATTGCTCTGTCTTAAAAGCTAACTTATATTTTCTATTAAAGCTCTTTAAACACTCTGAGAGGGTTAGCACTGCAGTTGGTGCATTTAATTACTTGAGCTGAAAATAATCATGCCTCAGTCTTTGGGTCCAAATGCTGGATTGCTGTTGGTTTTACTTAACATTTGCATAATCAGTTTTTTTCATCACTGCTTTTTATTTAAAAAACTGAAAACCCAAACAAGTAGCCAAATTGTTTTAGCTGACGTAGTGGTGAGGGAGAGATGGACCCCAAGCGCTTCCCCTTCCTGCGTGTTGATGAATTGGCTCTGCACCCCAGACCGCTGCAGGAAGGACAAGGTCACCCGGGAATGGCACCCGGCAAGTGAGACTCCTGGCTGGTGGCCAGAGCCGTTCTGCACACACCGATTTGTCTAATCTGGCTGAAAATGACACTGTTAGTTTTGGGACTATAGGCGTGGGAAGACCTAAAAATGTGTTTGTTTCTCCCGTACTGCTTGTTTGCCTTGAGTTCTAGCAATGTTTTATTTCAAGTTTACCAAAAGTTGAAAAAAATTAATTTTAGCCCGTTACTGGGATAATGGAATAACAAAACTTGAATCTCAGACCAGGCACCAGCTCTTAAAGGCTCTTTCTTCTTTTCCACTTTAAAAAAATTGAACTCCTACATGTGTTAAGGGACTTAGCAGAGTAGTCTCAGAAAATCTGCTTTATGCCCAAAGTTATAATTTGGAGGAGGAAATACTTTTTAAAATTTTTTTAAATATACAGAAACTGAATCGAGATTTTTAGTTAAAACAAGAATTCAAGCTTATCTCCAAAGCTGCCTCTGGAATTTCCATACAGGGTGGGGTTTGAGTTTGAGAAAGCTAGAGGTGTTCACAACTGCAGCTGAGTCTGGTGCTATCCTGGCCCCATTTTTCTTACATACTTACACACACAAGCACACACCCCATCTGGTCTGTTTTCAGTGCCAAGATAAGGGTACTTGCCAGATACTTAAGCAAGCTGATATATTAGAAATGTATTTTTTACGAGTTCTTTATTCCATCTTTCAATACAGCCCCCAAATTCCACCCCATCCTCAAGTCAGGCTGCCAGAGTCTCCTGCTGATTTACAGGATGGCAGGTTAAAGTCGTGAGTCTGATTTCATGAGCCAGTATTTTGGCAATTAGTCTGCTTTTTTGTCAGAGAAAGACAGAAAAGAGTATAGCAATGGGTTAGAATTTTATTTAATTTTCAACTGAAACTCCCAAAAGCTCATTCTCAACAAAACAGCTGTAATATTATAAATGAACCTTTATTAAAGACACTTCAATGCCATTTGTTAGACACTTCAATATCTTACATGTTTTTCAATGTACAACATTGTACCAAATTTTCTAATAAATAAATAACTTTGTACACAAAAGTAATACTTCCTCTTTCACATTGCCTCTTAGAAGCAGCAAATTCACATATTTAGTGGAAGTCATAACATTAGCAGTTAACTTTATTCAGAAACATTATTTTCCAATGTTAATGTGGCAAATATGCTTTGTATCCTGCAATGGTGATGACATTTCCGCCAGTAAAATGAGTCAATTAATTCATTCCCATCTTCCCCCTGTCCCCGGTTCCACTGTTTTCACCTTGCGAGTTGGTTCCGAAGCATACTTTTCCCTTCAGTAAAAGGAAAATTATGCTCGGTTTATAATTCTCTAACATCCATTTCCTTTGCTTTGAGTAAACTTGGCACTCAACATAATTAGCCACCTGTCTCAAAGTGCAAACGTGTCAACAGTCAGGAACTGATACAGACAGGTACCTGGCTGAATTATGCCTTGCTTCATCAAGGTCAGGTTCAGCTGGCTCGTCGACAGCGAAACGCGCCATCCACTGCTGGGAGGCAGCGAGCGGTCCCTCCCTTACTGGAGGTGGTGGCTCCTCAAGGGAAGGCTGGACAGGACCAGCCTGTGATAAAACAAACGGGCACCTTTGTCCTGATGCAGGGCAGCACGTAACTGCTTACTGAAACCCCACAGGCACGGTAGCACTCCGGCAGATCCCGAAGCGATGGATCCGAACGGAGAATTAAATGTTTCTGCCCTTATCTCTGATGCTTGCTTTGAGCCACAGCACTAGCAAAGGCGGATTTCCACCAGACTCGGCTTCAGTGGAAGTGGCATTTGAGTTGCTCCTAAGGAAAAAAAAAGTAACAAACCCCCCTAATAAACCTTCCCCCAAAGTAGTCATCACCAGAGTTAGCAACCTTACGTTAGCAGAACTCAAATTACAAGTAACTGGAAGGGAGTCCTCCATCCACAGGTACCAACACCAACAGAAAGCAGCCTTTCTATAAATAAAAAGCATCATAGTGAAGTTAGAAGTGACAAAGATCTGTTTGACCAATGTGGGTATTTCTTTTTCCCCAATTCATGGATGAACTTAAAAGACCACATAAAAAAATACTTGGGACATTTCCATTTAACAGAGAACTTCCAACGATAAATAGACAGTTTCCCTTCTAAATGAATGTATTTCTGAATAGCCTAGAATTGCTACACAAAGAAGCATAATTCATTTGAAGTGGGTATTGTCATGTAAAGAGTCTAGCTGCAGATGGGGGTAATGGTGTTCAAGAAGAAAGCGTAATATTGTGTTGCAAGAAAAGGAAAAAAAAGTATCAGATGAATTAACGGTACAGCTGTCATCTTAGGAGTGTGATCTTAGATTTGTTGTCAAAACAGCTCTATGGTTTCAAATCCGCCCCCCTCCAGAACAGATGTATTTTTTGGGTGTGAAAATGCACTATACTGGCACAGGTTATTCCTTCTGAACAGGGCCAGGCTGTGTATCATTATATGCACCTTATACAGGTAAAGCTGCAACCATTTGGGAGGGGAAATCTCTGCAATTAGCTCTGTAGGTCATCAGTGCTGTAACAGCATATATGGGCAGATAACACCTTCTGCTGCAACGGTTTTCAACGGTGCAATATATGAGACCACCCCACAGTTTACTGCGCGAGTTATTTACTTTGGTAATGACTGCTCACTAATCACGACAGCCTTTTTGTCTGGTTGTTTTAGGACTCTGCACTGTTGCTGAATTATTCGGTGCCTCTTGTGTGGTCCACTAATGTATCTCACAGTTCAAATACTAATTTTTATGCAGTTTTTAGAAGTAATGGAATTTAAGTTCTTCCACCAACAGGAAAAAATCAGGTTGCTATGTAATTCCTCACTGCATGTGTTTTTTTCCCTATAAACTTCATTTGAAACAGTTGAAGATCTCTGTTTAAATGTGTCAAGTGCAATAAATTTCAAAGGGGAAGGAAATTTGTGCTAAGTAACCCAATTGATACTTGATTTAAAGGAACTTCCATTGAAAAGAGGACAATCCCTTTGGAACAGTCTGGCTTTATGAAGTTCTGCTTATGCATTTAAGGCACCAGAATTATTTCTCTCACAAAGTTTAACAGCAACCTGATACTGAAAACAATATTGCCAAAATTGTAAAATTTCACTCAGTTTTCCATGCACTAAAGATTAAAATAGCCTCTGTAAAAGATATATATATATTTTTATATATATATATATTTATATATGAAAACTCTTATGTACAACTGTATCAAATACTTTTCTCTTTACACAATAATCCCTTGCATTTATGTGCTTCATATGCAAGTCAACTTTTGAACGCTTCATACTTCTCAGGGAAGTTTTAAACTATGTACAAACAGATGACGCTCGAACAG